AATTACACCTATCACCTTAACAGCTAATCCTCACAACAACCTACGAAGTATATATACTATTTCAATAAATCCTAATTTCATAAGTGTTCAAAGGGGCCATGAGAGAGAAAGTGAGACAGTAAGAATAGTAATAGCAATAACTGTCATATTTACTGAGTGGCTGCTACATATCAGACACTATTCTAAGAGCTTTCCATACACTAATCTAGCTCTTCTTCCCCCAAAACCCTATGAGGAAGGTATTGCTACAGTTCCCATTTTACAGAGGAAGAAACTGAGGCACCAAAACTTACATGGTCTCTAAGTCAATTACCCTGGGAAAGTCCTCAGTGTCTTTGGCACAGGGGTCCCTCGTTTACTAATGTCAATTACAATGAGCAAGAAGAATGTGGAACGCACGGTGATTCCCAAACGCTTTGGCCATGACCACTATTTTGGTCTGGACATGTACAGGGACCAGGATGAGGTGACTCCTTTGGAGAAAGGTCACGGCGACAGGTTAAACAAGCCTTCCTTCTGCTGACAGAGCCTTTCCCCAGATGGTCAGGCATGATGGAGGAGATGCCTACTCAGGAACGACCCTGCTGACCCAGCCCTGCTGCTGGCATCTCCCTCAGGAGGCACTCAGAAAGATCTGCAGTCATCACAGATCTTACCAAAGGGCCCCCACCTTGGGCCACACATCCATGAGAAGACATCCCCCATTAACACACTCTCAGCCTCACTCCCCACTTCCCACATGACTGTGAGATCCTCGGTCAAGTGGAGATGCTGGGTTAAAAAGAGAATGCCCCCCTGGGTCGTCCTCCTCCTTGGCCCCCACTGGGTGGGCATCATTCGGCAGAACCAACAACGCCTCACAGGGGGGTCCCGGGGTCTACAGCTGGGAGGCAATGCACCAGGGAGTGTGATTCTGGCTTCAGTCAAGCTGGAGTTTCCAACCAACTGTCAGGAATAAAGATGCCATTCTGAACACTTTTGTTGGATTCCTACCTCGATGTTTCATGAAGAACTTGAGGGGGAAGAAGAGTCATGATAACCTCAGAATTGAAATAAAGTTACCAACTGGCCTCTTAAAGATTGTCAGCGATCTATTCTAAAGGTCCATTTTAAATTGATTTTTTTTTCTTAATCTTGAAGGCACTTCCCACAACAACAGTGAATATAATGATCCCAACATAGCCCTCAGCCATCTACTCAATCCCGAAGGCATTTGGAGCTTCAGTGATTTCTCACTCTTTTCCCTACTGATGAGCTCAGTTTCACAAACAATTTGTTGTCCAAATGATTAAAAAAAAGAAAAAGTTTTATAGCCTCAACCTAAAAGGCTTCTTTTGTGCAAAAAGCACTGTGAACTCTCACCTAGAATTTGAGAAGCTGGTCCACATCTCTGTGTCCACCTAACATCAGGAGCCACAGAAATCCTGGATCAGAAAAGACTCTCCCTGGCCAACCTCTCCCTGCCCCTTGTCCTCCAGCTCCCCAGAAACACCAAGCCCCCCACACCCCAGCCTATCCAGGACACCCCCAAGATACCACAGCCTGACAAGGGCAAGGCACCCCAATCTGGCCAGGGCACATACTCCATAGTTTTCAACAAACTGAGTCAGCAGCTGGCTGTTGAGGAGTGAGTCCCAACTTCTCTGAGTATTGGATGACATCACTTGAAAATTAGGTAAAGGCTCTGGAAAGGCCAGAGCACAATTTCTGAAAGCACATCTTCTAATAAGGCTGCTTGCTGGTGTCTGGCATGTTAGTTGGTGCTCACGAATTTTACTTAAGTGGAAGAAAGAATAAAATGCAGGACTTAAGGAAGAGAAGGGCATCACTCAGTTCATGCCTGCACTGAAGGACTTTCATAAAGACCTTCCACCCAGAATGACTCCCAGATATGGCAGAAGGTCTTCTATGACCTGGTGAAAATAGAGTGGTAAGGGACTGTAAGAGGGACTTTGCCGACAATGTTCTGGAGAGTCAGCGCTACGGTTTTTCCAGTAGTCGTGTACTGATGTTAGAGTTGGGCCATAAAGAAGGCTGAGTGCTGAAGAATTGATGCTTTCTAATTGTAGTGTTGAAGAAGACTCTTGAGAGTCTCTCTTGGACTGCAGGGAAAACAAGCGAGTCAATCCTAAAGGAAATCAGTACTGAATATTCATTGGAAGGACTGATGCTGAAGCTGAAACTCCAATCCTTTGGCCACCTGATGAGAAGAACTGACTCACTGGAAAAGACCCTGATGCTGGGAAAGATTGAAGGCAGGAGGAGAAGGGGACGACAGAGGATGAGATGGTTGGATGGCATCACCAACTCAATGGACATGAGTTTGGGTAAACTCTAGAAGTTGGTGATGGACAGGGAGGCCTGGCGTGCTGGAGTCCAAGGGGTCTCAGAGAGTCAGACACAACTGAGCGATTGAACTGAACTGAGCAACTGAACAACAAATGACAAAAGGACTGTGAATGAGTGAGAAAGTATACTTCATCCTCTCTGCTCTGTTCCACTTAAGCCAGAGCTGGGTATGTGATGGCCCTTAGCACATTCAAGCTGGGTCTTAGGAAAACTGACTTTGGCTGCAGTGAGAAACCCTTCTGTACACTGTAGTTTCTGCTTGGGGGCTGGCAGGACGACTTACTCCAAAAATGCTCCTACTCAGAAATGTACTACATAGTATGGCAGATTTCAAATCAAATTCAAGCCCAGTGGTGCTCCCCGCCCCAGGTTTAATTTTCTTACTGCATCAAATTAAATTTCAGTGAGGGCAGAGTAACAATTTCAGAAATGGTGGTGGCAGAGTCCACAGGTCACCTGCACGAGAGTCGCACATCTAAACATGTGAATCAAGAGCCCACTCCCAACCCCCGTGCCAAGATCCCCTAAGATGAGGCCCCAGGAAAGGCCTCTGAACACTAGTTCAGGAAGTTCGTAAGGCAAAGAATCAGGGATTTAGAAGGAAATGACCTGAGTTCATTTCCACCCCAGAGCCACAGACAAGACTTTAAAGCTCTCCTGAACCTCTAATAATGAATATTTTAAAACACAGGGAAAACACCTACTCATCCCAGGATTACTGAGTCAAATGTGAATAGACTTGAACTTGCTTGGAAAGGATAAAGGGCTAAACTACTTATTCAAAACATGCAGTGAATGAAATGAATTGGCTGCAAAAGCCAGGTGCTGGGGAAACAAAGACAAGAAGTGAGGAGTCACAAGGCCAAAGCAGACACGGCCTGGTGTAATGAGATGGAGTCCGGGCCACACGAGCAGTATCTGTGCGGAAAGGGTGATGGTCCCCCTGAGAAAGACAAGATTAATGATGCAGTGGTAACCCCCAGGCTGGCAGCAGTTACAAACTAGGGATGAAGACAGCAAGGCATGCTATCAAAGAAAAGTAAACAGAAAATCAACGTGTTGAACCTCATCAAATGGAGACCATAATAAATATAAAAACTCAAAAAAATCCAATCTTTTATGATATTACTATGCAAATCAGACCTAGATTATAATCTTGTCTCCCTCTATGACACAGAAAGATAACTACATGTACTGCATACCAACTATACACTGGGTGCCATATGAATGAAGGCTTTGCATTCACTGTTTTGGTAAATCCCCACAACAACCCTCGTGCCACTGGTGTGATTTCCTCTAACATTGGTGTGGCTTTTCCTCTTTGAGATGGCAAAGTAACTCCAAGAGGTCAAGTTATGGAGGTTGCGCCTGAATTCTAATTCAGGACTGGCTGACTCCCAAGACCTGTGAGCATGGGGCATGCTCCCCGCTGTTAAAATGTCCAAACTCCAAGGGCTTGCTTTTGTTTAAGAAAATCTTGTTCTGGTCAGTTGGCTGAAGGTTGCAAGACACTTCAGCTAAAGTTAAATACTCTGTCTTCAGGCTGACCTAAGAAACATTTCAGCAGAGTCATGACAGTTCAAGTGCAGCCAAACCACACAAGGAGGAAACACACGGCGCCACCTGATTTAGGGAGATCTTGGCCAAGTGATCACTTTTCTATCTACTTGTATTTCTGATCAAGAATATTATTATTTGCAGCTAAAATCCACTCCAGCGGTCATGTACAGATGTAAGAGCTGGACTATAAAGAAAACTAAGTGCCAAAGAATTGATGCTTTCGAATTGTGGTGCGGGAGCAGACTTGAGAGTCCCTTGGACTACAAGAAGATCAAACCAGTCAATCCTAAAGGAAGTCAACCCTAAATATTCATTGGAAAGGCTGATGCTGAAGCTCCAACACACTGGCCACCTGATGTGAAGAACTGACTCATTGGAAAAGACTCTAATGCTGGGAAAGATTGAGGGCAGGAGGAGAAGAGGACAACAGAGAATGAGATGGCTGGATGGCATCACTGACTCAATGGACATGAGTTTAGGCAAACTCCAGGAGATAGTGAAGGACAGGGAAGCCTGGTATGCTGCCATCCATGTGGTCGCAAAGAGTCGGACAAGACTTAGTGACTAAACAACAACAAATCTACTCAGTACTCACTCCCTGGTAGGCATGATGCTAAGATGTCTACATGGATTGCCTCATGAGGTTGGCGCTGCCAACTGACCCCATTTTATAGATAAGAACAGAGAGATTAAGAAACAGAATTACAGCTGGGGTTGGAGCCTGATCAGCCGAACCCCATTGATTCTCCGCCACTTGGCATTCTGTTGCTTTCACCCATGGCCTGACATGACTTAATCGTGCTACAGGTTCACCACCTTGCAAATGTCTTAAGACTTTAGTCATACAATTCCCTAACTGCACAAATTGATACAATGATTGCTAACAGTCCAGCAAGTAAGTCTTACAATTTTGCAAGAACGCAGAGCAGGGTTTTCTGTCTAATTAATTTTCCGGAATCCTAAGCAGCACCATTTTTCTAACTCATCTGCAGGTGTATTCATCCCATGCTGAGTGTCTGCCGGGCCAGGCACAGGGGTGATCAAGACGAAAAGGTGCAGCCCCCGCCCCACCCGGTCCCTCTGCCCCTCACCTTCGGCTGTCTGGCCTTCTCTTTTCAGCATCTGGACAGCGCCTACGTATTTCTTCAGCTGCACTTTGAGCACTTCGTTTTCTCTGCGGGTACAAGAATGTCAGAAAAATGTATTTTAAAATTGGCAACTTAGACCCAAGGAAGGAAGAGAATCTGTGTAAGGAAAATACACAGTGTGCATCTGGTAAATATGAATATATTCTGTTTTAGAGATCACTGCTGGAAAAGACAAGGAAAGTGAGGGCACATTTGTGTAACGCCTTCAAGAACCACTCATTCATGGTGGAAATAAGCGCTAATTGGTTCCGGCATCCACAAATTCAGGATGCTGGCATGTGCTGTCCTCAGGTTATTTGAATCTAACAACCTGTTAGGTGCCGACTCTGTGTCAGGCACTCTGTAGCATTTACAGAAACTGTAAAAATGGACAAATTTACAGTATGTCCATTTACAGAAACACATACTAGGTATTGTTTACTTGGGGAACACTCAGTATTTTTATTAACTACTACATGCGTTTGGAACACGACTGAGCAACTGAACTGAACTGAACATGTATTAAACATTATTTGCAAGGCATCACATGAAGTCTTTATTATCTCATTCAATCCTTCCAAGGTACATATTAGCACAACACTCATTTTACAGATGAGCAAAGTGTGGTACAGTGACGAAAAGCAGTTAACCTAGCCCACCTGCCCCACCCCTCTCCCCATGTGAGACCGCAGGATGGAACATGAAACGCGGGCAATGACAAGATCCCACTCTACTAAATTCACTCCCCAGGGGTCCTGGGGCTGAGCACTAGGACACGAAGGTCAGGAGAGGAAAACACCATCTGTTGAGAATTTACCACATAGCTTAGACTTTACACATGTGACCTCAGTGAATCAAGCCCACATGTATACATTCATCCGCTCTTCATTCAATGGAAGCACGTTTAAGTACCTAACAATATGTCAGGTGCGGTGACCCTGTAATACCCTCCTCGTTCTGCAGGAGAGGAGCTGGGGCATGGAGAAGGTCACATGGCCAACACCAAGGTCATATGTAAGACACACAGTCTGGATACAAACCCAGGTCTATGTCTCCAAGAACCCAACGAGCACTTCTCTGTCTCTCTTGGGATTTGAAACTGGTTTCTCACCTCGGCCCCAGAGACAAATGCCTCTTCCACACTTTCTGCTCCTACGCATTCCCTATCCCACAAGGTTTTAAGCCTGAGTGTTCTTACACATGCTGGAATATTGCCTTACGATGAAAAGAGCTTTATGGCTGGGTGTCTCTTGTAATTATAAAAAATAAAACACTCATTGCAAAATACTCAATCAGAACACATTTAAGAAGGAATGTAAAAATTCCACTAAAAATCCTTGAAATAAATCTCACTAACTTCTTAAGACTCTTGAGAGTCTCTTACCAGCAAGGAGATCAAAGCAGTCAATCCTAAAGGAAATCAACCCTGAATATTCATTGGAAGGACTGATGCTAAAGCTGAAGCTCCAATACTTGACCACCTGATGCGAAAAACTGACTCACTGGAAAAGACCCTGATGCTGGGAAAGACAGAAGGCAGGAGGACAAACAGATGACAGAGGACGAGATGGTTTGATGGCATCTCCAACTCAATGGACATGAGTTTGAGCAAGCTCCAGGAGATGGTGAAGGACAGGGATGTGCTGCAGTCTCTGGGGTCAGGAAGAGTTGGACACGACTGAGCAAATGAATAACAAAAACATTTTTACTTCCATCCTATCAACTCTTTCTCTAGGCACACGTGAGCATGCACACATACGTACATCACTGAATATAATTATTCACAGGTGAAACACCCTTTCACATGCCTCAAAATTTTTGTTTGAAGACTTTTTTCCTCTGTTTACTGTCCCACACATCCTTCTCCATGGCAACCACCATTAAACAGCCGGTACACACATTTCATGTCTCCTCCATGCTCACAGAGTCACTACAAACCTGATACATTCAGAGTTTACTTTATGAAACCGGATCCTACTACAAATTTTTCTGCAACTGGTTTGTCTCAACACTTCACCAAGGTAAGCTTCTGATTCCATCCATTTATGGATGGAGATGCCATTCCTTGGTAATAATATGCCACATATCTGCTCAGTGGAAAAACTGCAGACAGCCAAACTGCAGACTGCAAATCACTGACTCTTTTCAATGCATCTTATTATACCTCAGCCCACAGAGATAGCACTTTGCATTGTGCTTTTCTGCACTGTATTTTGGCAGAAAGAACACAAGTACCAACTGCAGACACGACCATATACTGAGGTGTCACCTAAAAGTGTACATTCATCTCAGAAACTTGGAAAGAAAGTCAGACATGAAGGAGTTCCTTAATTATCGTCCTCCTCCTAGACGGCCTGTCACAAATGTTTCTATTGGCAGCTGCAGTTCCTCTGTGATACAAAGAGCCAGTGTCTAAAGCTCATAAACAACTAAGGAATCTCGAGATCTGCAGGTAGGAAAACACTGCCCAACAGACGTGCTAACACAGCTGCTTTTCCTGGATCCCCTAAGTCAGCTCTTGTCATTCATCCCAGCTTACTCCTAATCCCCTCGTGTGAATTCCAAGCACACAGTTTAAAATAAGGGAGAGAAAGAAATTGATATGCATCTCTGTATGGTCTGCAGCGCTAGAGAAGACTCTCAAGAGTCCCTTGGACTGCAAGGAGATCAAATCAGTCAATCCTAAAGGAAATCAATCCTGCATATTCATTGGAAGGACTGATGCTGAAGCTCCAATATTTTGGCCACCTGATGTGAAGAGCCGACTCATTAAAAAAGACCCTGAGGCTGGGAAAGATTGAGGGCAGCAGGAGAGAGGGGCAACAGAGGATGAGACGGTTAGATGGCATCATCTACTCAGTGAACATGAATCTGAGAAACCTCCAGGAGATAATGAAGAAGAGGGAAGCCCGGTGCACTGCAGTCCATGGGGTTGCAAGGAGTCGGACAAGACTTAGGTTGAACAACAAGTGGCCTGATTTAACAATGATACGTTCAGAATGTTGTGCAAGAGGCAAGAGGAGGGAGGCTCACTCAGGCCCACCGACTGGTGAGTTGTGTTGGGCTGTCAAGCCTCAGTTTGCCCAATCACACCATCCAGGCCCACCCTCAGCTGCCTAGTTCGTTGTCAATTCTTCAGCCAGCACTGAAATGTTCAACAGGCTGCTTTCCTTCCGGTTGGGAGGCATCTTTTAACAGCATCTTAACACTATCTAAATATCAAGAATGCTATGGTGGTCCAGTGGCTAAGACTCCGCACTCCCAGTGCAACAGGCCTGGGTTCGATCCCTGGTCAGGGAACTAGATCCCACCTGCCACAACTAAGAGTTAGCATGCCCCAACTAAAGATCCTGCATGCCACAACAGAGAACAACCTGACAAAGATCAAAAACTTCAATACAAATCCAACTTTCATCAAAATGATGAGATGTCATGGAGAATACATTACAGATGGGCAGCTTTAGGAGCCATAAATTCATCCCAGCCAACTTTGTGTCAATGAACTTGTTTGCCTTTTGTGGGAAAGAAACACTGTCAGGTCAGTAGAACTGCTCCTGACACAAATACGAACATTGGGAGGACCCAATGACTGCCCCAAAGAGGCAACTAGCTACTGACCCCGGGAAAAGATGAAGCCTCTGTTTAAATTTTTATTTTGAAATACTTATAGACCCAGAAAGTTGCAAAGATATTACTGAGAGGTCCTGTATACCCTCGGCCCAGCCTCCCCCAGGGATTACAACTTCTGTAACTATGGTCTGATGGCAAATCCAGGACACTGACACGGTCACATCGTGCAAGTGGTTCTATCCAGCCCAGTATTTAAACTGACGTTCATGACAATCTAAAGATGAGATACAGGCTCAAATGACCATAGCAGGCAGACAGACAAGGTTTATGAGTAACACAAACCAGGTATAAGACAAAAGGGTCTGGGGGCCAGAGCTGCCCTAGGGCCACCACTACTGAGCCCCTCGCCACAACTAGAGAATCTGTGTGCTGCAGCTCAGACCCGATGCAGCAAAATAAACCAACAAACAAACACCTAACAGGTCAAGGGCCCAAGAAAATGATTCCTAGGCTCTGAATGGTTCATTTGCAACCAGCCGACAGAACTCTGGACTTCCCTGGTGGTTCAGACAGTTAAGAATCTGCCTACAATGCAGGAGACCTAGGTTCGATCCTTGGGTTGGGAAGATCCCCTGGAGGAGGAAATGGCAACGCACTCCAGGGTTCTTGCCCAGAGAATCCCATGAACAGAAGAGCCTGGTAGGCTACAGTCCATGGGGTTGCAAAGAGTCAGACAATGACTGGGCGATTAACAAGCAATAGAGTTTTAATCTGTAGACAAAGGAAGCGTATGGAATGTATCATTCCTGATGATCAAATAAGAATGCCATTTCCTTTGCTACCTCATGAGATGACGGGATGGGTCAATGATTAAGTGCCTCCTGTGAAAGGGAAGAGAAACCTGAAGACACCCCCCTCCCTGCCACCTCTTTAGTAACCACCCAGTTCTTTCCAGTCTGAAGGGGGGGGGGGGGTGGGGGGGGGGGGGTGGGGGGGGGGGTGGGATACAACTTCCTCACAGTTCAGAGAAAGGAGAAAAAACACAAAGAGGATGAACTAGAACAGAATCTCCCAAAGCTGGTACATCCCTGAGATCATCTGTTTATAACTTCACCGAACTGTTTATATTTTAACACCTAGGCAGTTCTTCTGGTATGTTTCCAAAAAACCAGTTTTCCATGTATGGCATATAAATGATATAGAGCAGCAGCAGTCCCCAAGATTTTTGGCACCAGGGACCAGTTGTGTGAAAGAGTTTTTCTGTGGACTGGAGGGTGAGAAAGGGTTTCGGGATGGTTCTAATGCATTACATTTATTTGTGCACTTTATTTCTACTACTATTTACATCCGCTCCACCTCAGATCATCAGGCATTAGATCCCAGAGGTTGGGAATCCTGATACAAAGAATCCTTTGGAAAGGCATGTAAAACTCTTAAAAAATGAGTGGACTGCAAGATAAATATTACGGAATGAGTA